TGTAATTCACTTGGTTTTGTGTTCTTTGCTATGTGACTTTTGCCAAAATAAGATTTCAGTTGTTGTATTATTGCACAACCCTGGACTGAAACAAATAAAATACTAAACATAAAAAACACTCCCCACGGAATTGCTCAGCAGCACAGCACCTGCCTGGCAAATGCAAGGTCATGAGTTTGACTGCCAGTACCAGAAAAAAAAATAAAGAAAAAAAAAAAAACACTCCCCACAAGATGAATATTTGATCAAAGAATGAAGCTAGGTCACACATACTCTAAAAACCACAGAATGTAGCCAGATAGATCCTTAGCATATGTAAAAGGAACCAACAGATTGGGGGGATGAAAGTGGGTGGTGGAAGTGGTGTGTTGTATACATGAACTGAGTCCCTACAAGCAGGTGATCATTATGTACTACAAACATGTACAAAAACTATATACCTATGAAGGGGTCCAAGAGGTGGGGGAGGGGAAAGGAAAATGGAAAGAGGTGTGTCCTGTTGTTATGGTTTGTGTCTGGTTGTTCCCCCAAAGCCTCATGCTATCATGGGTAGGATTTTAGAGTTTGATACATTTTGGGTGTGAGAGCTACACCGCCCTCGGGCTGATAGTTTCACATATGTAAGGGAGAAAAAGAGGCTGCTTGCCCCCATTCCTCCTTTCTGCTCTTGTTGCTTTTGCTATCTAGGGCTACCATGAAAGGTTGCCCTCTGCCATGTGCTGCCTTGCCTTGCAGTCAGCCAAGTATGGACTGAAACCTCTACAGACTGTGAGCTAAATAAACCTTTCCTTCCTAAATGCTGGGTGTCAGGTATTTTGTCCCAGCAATGAGAAAAAAAAATAACCAAGATATCTGTACATGTATTACCTCTCCAATTGGAATGTAATCATTATGTACAAATGTGTTACAATAAAAGAGAGAGCAATGACATCAACCTACCCATGGCATTGCTGTTCAGCAGGAGCACACCATGGGCACTGCCATCCTCCTCGAGTCCCATGTAGTAGGGGTGGACACCATAGGAATTCATCTTGAACTGAGAGCCATGGGGAAGAAGAGGTACAAAGTTAGAAGACATCACGCCTGATGAAGAAACTAAATAAATTCTGTTCATTGACATGGGTCTTGACCTATCTGAGAAATAAGTTAAACACAGGAGAAAGAAAGGTGCCCACCAATTGAGCCCCCTTGTCTAAGAGCACAGTGTGACAAGCTATGTTGAACCAGAAAAGAGGAAACACAAAGCACATATGGTGTAGTTAGACAAAGGCAAAAACATAGTGTTTTAGTTACTTTTCTCATGGCTGAAAAAAATATCCAATGTCCAAAGTCAAGGGAAGAAAGATATATTTAGCTCACAATTCTTAGAGGTTTCAGTC